TAAATAAATAATTTTATTACTAATTATAAAGTAAAGTATTTAAATATTTAATTTAATTACTATAATAATAACTAGCTATTTAAGTATTTTAATAAATAATATAAAGTAAACTTATATATTTAATTAACTTAGACTAGATTAATATAAAAAATATTAATCTTTTCCTAAATTAATAAATAATTTATTAATCTATTATTAAATTAAAAAGTTATATCTTAATCTTTTTTTAATTAGTTAAAGGATTAAAGTTAATTTAGTTTAATCTAACCTATTAACTCCTTATTATAACCTTAAGAGCTAGGTTATAATATATTTCTAAAGGATAAACCTTAGAGTAATTTTATAATTTATAATAGTAAAGTAATTAAGTTAGTAAATAAGTAAATTAATTATTAATTAGTAATATAAATAAAAATAAATATACATATTTCAATTTAATCATATTATAAATACTATAATAATAACTAATTATCTAAGTATTTCAATAAGTAATATAAAGTAAATTTATATATTTAGTTAACTAAGCTAAATAATTACTAAGTAGTAATAATCCTATTATAAATTATTTTAGAGATTTAATAATCTATTTATAAATTATTAAATTATTAATTAATTTAATAATTTATTCTTAATTAATTAATTAATTTAACGTTTATCTAAGACTAGCTACCCTATAGGCCTATTATTATAATTATAAAAGTTAGGTTATAATAATTTCCTCTGTTATATTAAAATATAATAAATACTTAATTTAAACTTAGTAACTTTTACTATCCTAGTACTTAAATAAAGACTTATATAATTAAATTACTTAGTAAATATTAATAATAAAGTAAATAAATAAATAAATTTATAATGTAAATATTATAATAATAAAGAATATAAATATATTAATATAAAAATAAATAGGTATTTTAGACCTTAGTATATATATTTATTTATTATTTATGTATTTTTATTTATATTAAGCTTTTAGTTTAAGGGGGTAAATATATAATAGTTTACTTTAATAAAGTTAAATAAATTAAATCTACTAAAGTTAATTAAACCTTTATTATTATAAGATAAAATAAAATTAAGTTCTCAATATATAAATACAATATAATATATTTATACCAGATCCATATTTATACCAGGGGCCATTAAAATACCTATGCAAAATCAAGGCCGTTAAAATAATAGCTAATAAAATTCTATATATCTATATCCTAACTACTTACAGTAGTTTAGAAATATCGCTCTTAAGGAATTTACATTAGAGGCAGAACCGTCGCTATTATAGTAATAGTAGCAGTAGAAATAGTATGAGAGGCAGTAGGAAGCAGAGCAGAACAATTAGATAGTGGAATACTAAGCACAATCATAGCATTGACCTACTACATTCTAGGAGGTGTAGGAGAGTGACAACACAGTTCCTGACTGTAACACAATACTAGTACTCCCTAGCTAATTAGTATATTGCATTTGTGCTAGAAAATTTCCTTAGTATCTTTGAAAGACAGCTATTCGCTGCGGTTTAACTACATTTGCTCCCCGCCAACGATATATAGGGGGCGCTATCAAACCTAAGGCACTTGACTTTGTTATTATCATCAGCTTCATCCTGCCATTGGGCGTCAAGTGATATTTCGCAGGTAACCCTTCCGAGTGTTTAAAGAGGAAATGTTCTATGGGGCTTTTTATTTTCCCTTGCTTAGCTCTTTAAAGACCTCCTACTTATTGAGATTGTAATAGGCTCACAACTCACGCTGTCCTCGCCTTAACGGATTTAGCTAAATGAATTAATAGTCAGTGTCTCATGGACCTGCACTCCACAATATACGAACTAACCTTGGTCAACCCTATGTTTGATCTGTCCCAAAAGCCCTATATGGCCTCAAGATCTCGGTCCAAAGCTTCTCATATCTACACCGTCCTAGCCGCGGGGTAACGCTTTTAAACTAGCTTGCTTAGGGACGATATACAGATAGCCCTAATTATAATCCTACTGGTAGTTGCATTGAGTCATATTGATGTCAGGTTGGAGCGTCAATCTGACGTTTCGTGAATATTGACGTTGGGAGAGCATTCCCGTATTCAAAACAAACTTTCTAATCAGTGGGTACCTACGCTTAAGGAAACGTCACCTTGTTAATGTCTTCCGTTTTGGAAAAGTGCGGCGTCGCGTTATGCTACAATAAGAATTAACCTTCAGTAGCCGATCAAATAGAGCTAGTAATCAATCCAGTCCACGGTCCCTAATCTCATAGCTACATTCCGTCGACGATAGCTTACATATATATACGTTTATAAAGAATCGTTACGCGCTCTTGCTGCTCTATTCTATAACTTTGTTTTGTCAATTCATAAATCCATTTTCAACTGTAGTTATACATATATCCCGCACTGTTGTCCAACATAATGACTGTCTATTCCTTGGGGCTTCTGCTGGCCTCTTTGGCTGCCCTCGTTCAAGCGCAACAGCCCAATCGTCCAAACGACCTCAACATCACTCTGGCCCAAGGTAATGCGTACGGTTGTTCTTCTAAGGCCTGCCTAGAGAACCTACAAACATTCGAGGCATTGGACCGTCCGATCTTTGGAGATGTTCCCTTCAACTATGACTTCTACGCCACCGCAGATAACTTTACTAAATCTAAACCTGGAGACCTGTTGAAGCTTCAGCGACAGAATTCCACTCTATATGATATCACCCCTGGCAGCTCGTTATGGTTCATCCAATATACATCTGTCGGTGTTGGTGGACAGCCAGTCCCATCCACTGGGTTTATCCTTCTTCCCTATTTGAGTGAGGCATCCAACAAAACACCGCTTATTTCATATGCACATGGTACTATCGGAACTGTCGCTGCTTGCGCCGCGTCGTCTTCTTATAACGGGTACGATTACGACAGCTGGAAGCTTCTCCCACCCCACGGATTCGCCGTGGTTGCTACAGACTACGCGGGCTTGGGCAACAACTACACCACACACAAGTACGGAAACCCAGTCATTAACTCAGAAGACGTATATTTCGCTGTTGTTGCCGCCCGCAAAGCTTTCCCAAACGTCTTCACCACTAAATGGGCTTCTCTCGGTCATTCTCAAGGCGCTGGAGCCATATGGGGTCTTGAGGAGAATCCCCGTGTTGCTTCTAACCAGAGTGGCGAATACGTGGGAGGAGTTGCCGTAGCTCCTAGTGCGAGACTGAATGATCTCCTGACCGCCGTTCCTCTTTCTGAGGGATATGGATTCGGCCCCCTGATTGTGAACATCTTCCAGTCCCTGAATTTCTCCATACAGCCACCCGTCTTTACCCCAGAGGCCATGAAGCGTTACCCGCTGATGAATGCGCTTGGGCTCTGCGACAATTCATATGCGGGCCTCAACTTTGACCTCCCGAACCATGGCATATTGAAGCCTACTCCTGAGCAGAATAAGACGATTCATGAAGCTTACACCAAATTCCAAGACCAGTATGGCGCCGCGACCGGGAGAAAAGGATACAAGGATTTCCTTGTTGTACAGTCCCATGACGATGAGATTGTGAATTACACTGCTACGATTAAAGCATACGATTTCGCCTGCAAAAAAGGCAACATCGTTCACCTGAGCGTGTATCACAACCTCACCCACGACGAGTCAATGGCCGCTTCGGCGCCTGAGTGGCTCAAATGGCTCAGTGATAGAATTTCAGGTGTGCCACTTGCCAATGCAACCAAATGCACCATACAACAGAAGACGCCCTTATACGTCCCTTCGCGTTCTGGGTTTGGGCTGGCGTGATTATGGATAACGCAAGGCCTCGGTTCCCGCCTTATTGGACGCTCTTATATTACTATTGATCCTGGGCTCATCCTTTCTTCCCTCGTTCTTCTGCAGTTATTTATTTTTCAAAAAAAAATCCAACCGGCTCCAATTTTCGCGTGCGTCCAAGGCTCACTGGTCGTTTCCTTGTCACGGACCTGGTGGTTGTAAATGAGGAATGCTGGGGACCAGTATAAAAACTCTTAAGGGGCTAGTATTTTGAAAAACCCCTGTATAGAGTGCACTTGGTATGAAGAAAGAAGGACATAAAGAACGATTAAATTACGAACTACTAGTAATTATTACGTTTCCATTATCCAATTTCTATATACAGTAGCTAATTTAAAGCTCTACGTGCCAGTGGTTTGCTTCCCAAGCTATTAGCCTAGTCGTGCGGCTGCTCCGGGCTCCGGCTTTGGTGTAGCCGCCAGTACCAAACCTAATAAAAGCAACGGCTACTCCCCTAGATTTGGCAGACTGAACACCACTTTCTATCTTAAAGTCTGTAATCAATCCTAGCCTGATTTACACTATTTCCCTTAACAATTGTATCGTAAACTTCAACCTGCGCTTGCTAACCCAGGCGGCTGCGATGACATTTGCCTCCTTATCTGAGACTCCCTACACCGGACCGAGACAACCTGGCTCACTCGCCGGCTTAGTAAAGGGGTTAGATAGCTATTTCACTAAACCTCTTGCGGAAACTTAGTAAGACCTCTAGTATTATATTATGCGCTTGTGCTTTATCAATAAAAAACTAACTCTACTCTTTGGTCTTCTAAATCAACTCTACCCCCCGCATAGTGGGTCGTACAAGGGTTAATTAAATCAACTCTGCTAGAGTAAATCAGAGTCTTACCAATGTAGGTCGTCTACTCGTACACTAAGAACCATCAAGAAGCTAACGAGCACGCTGTCATACTCTGTAGCCTTGGTGAAATGGTCCAGCGTGGATATGGCCAGCTCCAAGACGTCGGTCTTAACGGTGTCGAGCAACGAAGCAAAGCTGGCTTCTTCTGGGTCGCACTCGTCTGTCCAAACGCCCGCTAGCCTTCTCGCATTGCCTATAAGCGTCTCGAAAGCGTCCTTTTGTTTCCTGCTGAGCTTGAAAGGCGGCCTTTTAGACGGATCCCCCAGAGCCATGGCCCGGACAACATATGCCAGAAACTGCTTCCATTGTAATGCGTATCTCCTTTGCGTCTCCGGCCTAAGCCTGAAATGGAACGGCTTGGATCGCTCTTTCTTGAGCTCTTTCCGGTTGACCTCAAACAGCGCATTCCACGATACGATCTCTGGTCTTAGAATCAGCTTTGCCTCCATGACCAAAGAGTCGAAAGCAGAGTGGATGTGCCTAAGTGCATCATCGTCACTGTGTTGCGGTTGGTCTGAGTCAATGCTATATTCCATCGATATAAGCCCTCGCAGAAAAGCCTTCTTATGGCTGAAATACTTCAGATGGGAAGCAGCCCCCAGCCGTCGTAGCCAAGAGTTTGGGGGGCCGAAGTCGCTTTGTTCATCAATCCTGCTTGCCTCTTCTCGCCGGAGACGCATCGCCTTGGCTTGGAAAGCATCTACAGCTCGCTGGATATCCACGTCTCTGTCGCGATCAGCGGCCCGCGTATCTTCAATCGTCTAACCCCTTGCAACCTCAAAGTATTCGCTTCGGGGCCCTTTAACGAAGAACCGTTGGTATATGACATCGCTTCTCCACGGACCACTTCTCTCCTCCGCAGCTTCTCCAGCTGTTCGACGGCCGCCTTGCAGATGTTGATTCCAGCCGTGTGCCGCGCGGAGATGTTCTCGTATCCTCTTCAAGCTGGAGCCTACAGTCTTGCAATTGGATATAAATGTGCATCGAAAGCCACTAGTGTTTGGTTCGCCTAATGCTGCTATGGGGCGAATGTCATCTGACGGGGTAAGTAGAGCATCAAGTTCGTCCTGGCCCTGGATAATGTCTAGCTTTGATGCCCACTGCTCGACCTGTTTAATCTGCTGGCCTTTAAGCTTATGTGGTGATGCGCGAAGATGTGTGTTAATGCGATGTCCAATGACAAAGATCTTGCACACACGACAACCTAGCGTACAATACTCTGGCTGGTAAGAGAAGTATCCATGATCTAATAAGCTTGATGGGCTTGTATTGTAAAGACTATGTTGTGGTAGTAAACGCCAATTAAGGAGTGACCACCATTTACTATTATCAATAACCCATGCAACCGGAGATAGTATAAACAAGCAAAGGTCCGCTTTTACTGTTAACTAATTCAATTAGCTATTATAAGCTAGGTGCTTATTTTACTAAACCTTTTGTAGAAAATTAGTAAAAGCTTTGGTAAAATGCCCTGTTGTGTAAGTTTATTTACAATAACATTGGCTTAACCTAACTTATTATAGGGCTTGGGTTTACTATATTAGGTAACTGCTGACTACTACCCTTGTATAATTGCCAGTTACTCTTTGTCCTGCTAGCGCCTAAAAATCTATTATATAAAATTAATTACCGTTTACTAACTGCTGTAAATAATATATACTAGGTTTATCTTAACTATTTATAATATCCTGACTTAATACTTATAAAGTATAGGGTAAGTTCTTAAGGTAATAAGCTAAGGTTAATTAGTTTATATTAGTAAAAAGAATAAAAAGTAGCTTCAAGTAAGTATAATTATAACGGAAATAAAATATAATAAAAATTTAGTTTATATTTAATTTTAATATTTTATTAATAATTATTTATTTAAATTATTTAAAAAGTATAAAAAATTAAATTTTATATATTTAATATTACATTCCGTTATACCGTAGCGCCAATAGGGTAAAAGATTAGGCTAATAATCGTAATTATAGTAATTACTGTAACGGAACTAGCTATTTATAATAGATCTAGCTGTTATAGCGGACTAGATTGTAATACAGTACTCCCCTTTTAGTGGTCTTGTCCTTAAGACCTCGCTAAAATAGTAAACTAAGCTATCTTCCAGCGGTCTTAAACAGCTGTTCTAACCCCTAAGGGTACTGTAACGTTCCCTATAACGTTTTTCCACAGGCCTTATCAGCAGCGGAGGTCTAATATAATCTAGCTTACCTTAGACCATAAGCCGGAATTGAACCCTAGGCCACTGGCTTCTTGCGATTATAATATTACGTTCCGTTATACCGTAGCACCAACAGGGCAAAAGATTAGGCTAATAATCGCAATTATAGTAATTACTATAATAGAACCAGCTATTTATAAGGGATCTAGCTGTTACGGCGGACTAGATTGTAATATTTAATTATTTTATAAAAAGTATTATAGCTTATTACTTTTTAAAATATTTAAAATACTTATATAAGTTACTATAATAAGCTAAGCTCCTATAGGTTAATATAGAAGGGATTCCTAAGGGATAAATATTATAACTTAATAACTTATAGTTGTAAATAGTAAGCCTATAGGGTAGGTACAATAGATAAATAATAGTTTATATAAACTAATTAAGGTTATATTTACTTTTTATAAAGTAAATACTAGTAAATAATTACTTAATTAAAAAAATATTTACTTTTATAAAAGTAAATATAAGTAAATATTATACTATATATTTATTTTATAATATTTATTTAAAATAATTTAAATAGTTAATTATAAATATAAAATAAGATTTAATTATATTTACTAAGTATTATTTACTAATTATATAAATAAACCCTTTTTTATTTTTATTAATTATTTATTAGTTTAGCTTAGTTTATTTATTAATATAAACCTAATATAAAGTTTATTTTTTAAAAGTTCCTTTTATACTAATATTATAAAAGCTTAGCTTATTATATATTTATAACTTTTATTTAAAGGTTACCTTAGACTATAGGTAATATTTATTATAAAAATACTAAATAATTAATTTCTAAATTTTAAATATAGAAATAAATTAAAAAAATAAAATATAAAGTAAATATTAAAATAGTAATATTAATATTATAAATTTATTTAAAAAAATAATTAATATTATAATTAACTTGATACTTAATAATAATTTAACTATACTTTTATAAAACTTATAAAGTATAAATTTTAATAATATTATAAAAAAAACTTAAGCCTTAAATACTATTATTACTTAAATAATATATTAATAAATTATAAACTAAAATATTATTAATTAATAAACTTAAATAATTTAGAATTTAGCTACTTAGCTTTAAAATATTTAATAATAAAAATAACTACCTATAGCCTAAGGTTAATAAAAAAGCCTTTATAAAAAAAAACTAAGAGAAATTATTAAACTACCTTTACTAATATTATTAGTAATTAATAAAAGGGTATAATATTTTTACTACATAGGTATAATCTTATGTAGGTATAACTTTTAACTTAATTTAATTAGCTAGAATAAAAATATTTTTATAAGTACTTCCTAGCGTAGGTAGTAAAGTTAGCTACTTTAATATTAACCTTTATACTTAAGTATAAAGCCTTAGAAATTATTTATTATAATAGTTTATAACCCTTTTTTAATTTATAAATTAAATAAGCTTAAGCTTTTACTTTAATATATAGATTAAATAAGCTTTAGCTATTATTTTAATTTATAAATTAAAAAAGCTAGTTTATTATTATTTATAATTTTTAATTTTTAATAAACTTTTACTAGCGTTTTATTTTTTATATATTAAGTTATATTCTTTAGCTATTTAAATAAATACTTTTTATTTTCCTAAATTTAAGTACTTTATTTAATTAATATTTTTAAAGTTATATTTTTAATTATATATTATATTTTATATTACCTTAATAAATTAATAAAAATAAATTATATTATTGAAAAAATAGTTTTTATATTATTATTCCTTACTTTAATACCTAAGGTTATATAAATACTAAAGTTATAGTAGTAGTAAATAAAATAATATATTTATTAAGTTTTTATTAATAAATATATTTTATATAAGTAGTTTAAAATTATTTATTAATTATTAAATTTTAAATAAAATATATATTTAAGCTTATTTATATTTTTACTTTATTTTAGTAAATAAAATATACTTTTATATAAAAAAAACCCTTTAATAAATATAAAGAATATTTTTATTAATTATTATATTAAGTAGTTATTTATTAATAATAGTAAGCTTAGTTTATAGTTTTATAAAGGTTTTTTTATAATTAGTTTCTTTTAGGTAGTTTATCCTTTGTATTTAGGAAAAATAGCTTTTTTATAATATATAATTTATAAGTAAATTTAAGTAACCTTTTTTAAATATTAATTTAATATTTTTAAGTTTAAATTTTTTTACTTTATTAAAAAATCTTTTTTTATTATTTTCTTAGGTTTTATAAAGTATTTTAGTTTTTTTTATATTTATTTTTATTTTATTTATAATTATTTATAAAGTTTATTTTAAAAAGTTCTTAAAGTAATATTAATATATTTAAAATTACTTTTTAATTTTTAATTATTTATATTTTTATTATATTCTTTTTATTTTACTAAGTATGAAAGTTTATTAATTTTTTTTATTTATTTTTAGTAATATTATTTTATTAATTTTATATTTAAATTCTTTACTTTTAATAATACTTTTATTTTTAATAAGCTTTTTTATATTTTTATTTATTAATATTTTTTTTAATAATAAAATATAAAAAATTAAGTATATTATTTTTTGTATTATTTAATTACTCTAAAAGGTTTAATTTATAATTAATTTCATAAATCTTTTTTAAATTTTATAAAGCTTAACTTTTTTATAATTTAATTTATTACTTAGTTTATTTATTTTAATATTAATTTATTTTTTTCCTTAAATATATTAAAGTAAGTAAATTAAGCTTTTTTTATTTATATATTTCTTTATATATTTTTATATAAGTTTAAATTATATATTAATAACTATTTATTTAAGTTATTTAAAATGTATAAAGAATTAAATTTTATATATTTAGTTATTTCCTTAAATTACTATTAAATTACAGTTCCTTTAGATTATAATAGCTTACGGTTATAATCTATTAAAGGTATACTATATAAGTAATCTTTTCCTAATTAGCCCTCTGGTCTATACTTTATCCGAGGTACGTACCTTCGCTAGATCAGGTCATAACAAAACCCTATAGCTAGTATATACTCTTAACCTCCGCTCCCTAATAATAAGAAAGGGTCAATGTATTTAAAAAGCAGGGCCAGATAATAAGCTATATCAAGGCAAGCTTTTAGATTATAAAACTCAGGCTCTGTATAAGCAGTAGCGTAGGAAGAATAATACGTTAAGATCTCCTAAAGATTACATTCTCAGATATCGTAATAAGTAATACGTTATAGACTACTTTAATGTAATAATACTTAATCGTACTAATAACTGGTCACTATTTGTAAGAGTAGTGGGGGAAAAAAGTAAAAGCTCTCTCCATAGGTCTTACGCTTATTTAAATTAGACAACAGAGCCGCTCTAACACTCAACTATCTGACTAAATTAAGGTAGGCTCCTGGAGTTCCCCCACCCTGTGTCAGTCGTAAGTCGCATGCGCCAGTGTTTAGCTTTCGGATGTCTAGAGGAGACGCAAGTAGCGGGGTAACCATCAGGTACACCAGTGGAAGACACATCGTATATACGTAGACGGACTGTAAGAGGCATCGTAGCTTAGTGTTGAGTCTCCCAAAAAAAGATTCATCAAGATTCGCACAATTTTAAATATAGCTACATAAGCAATTACTTAGGATCCCTCTTCATGTACTTGATGATATATCTACCCCATTTCTCGCTCCCCTTGTCCCCCATAACCGCTTCACCCACTCTTGGCCCTCTTGGCGCCCACTCGTCCAAATCCAAGTCCAGCTCCTTCACGGCCTCAAACCCAGCTTTCTGGTATGCTTCATACGCCTGGTGCGATGAATGTACCCAAATAGTGAGGCCCAGTTTGTCGGCGATAGCATTGCCATACTGGAGCATGATGGTGCCTACACCGCGGGATTGGTGCGAAACCGACACGTGTAGACCGGTGATGAAGACGCAGGGTTTGTCCTGGGGAATGATGTTGGTCTGCCAGTATTGCATGTCACGGGACTCGAGGGCCTTGAGGCGGTTAATTGAATCTTCTTCTCTTTTCTCTTCAACGTCTCCAGTGTCCTCATTTTCAGGCTCATCTTTCTTCGGACGTGGCTCTTCCTTGGCCGCCGACTTGTCATCACTGGGTCGGCTCCAAGGAATAGCCGCCTCATCTACGTCCTTGAACGCCCAACCTGCATGGCCCACAATCTCGCCCGTCTCCTCGTCTACGGCTTTCACGTAGATTTGTTTTTTTCGTTCCAGGCCATCGAGGAGCATGGAGCGCATGATGTCGTACATGTCATAGGGCTTCCGGCCCAGGCCCTTCACAATGGTGTGCGGGTCGATGGCGAAAGCGTCAGAGGTCATCTGCGCACAGGCGTGGACATCTGCGTAATTGAGGGGCTGGACGGAAACCGAGAGGCGGTTGCTAGAAGACATGATTGCGGTATAGAGAGAGAAGTTGTGGCTCGTTTTGACCCGTTGCGACAGTGGGGTGGAAGGATTGAGAATAAATAGGGCTTTGGGTGTGTTACAACTCGTGGCAGTGGTTGGAGGGGTATTTATATGTCTCGACAGTGAATGAATGTTGGCCTTCCCAAAAGTGAGCATTTAGTAATATTTGCTAAATGACGGGCGGATTCATTCATACGTTGGTATGCTGTGTTGGATGCGCACGCACACGCAGCAGGTTTGGTCTTTTGGAGGGCTCATGAGGGGCTCAGCTGCAGGGGGTTGTTCAATGCTGCCCCATCCGCATGTTCAATATTTGGGCGAACATTGCAGCGGCTGGATGGTCTCCTAGCCATCTTCATTTTTGACTTCACTCACATCAAACCTCTTTGCATTCCGCATCCTCTAGGCTGAGGACATTGCTTGATTATCTGACGCGCTCTATGAACAAAAAGAATTGTTTGTCCAGTTCCAAGGGCATGCATCAATGAAAGTATCATCATTTCTATACGCTATTTACACAAGAACAGATCATGGTGATTCCAGTTCAGGCAGGCCCTGCCTATCTCTGAACCTGGAAAATCAGTTTGTTGAGGCTGACTTATGTCTGTTAGTTACCAATTACAAGCAAACCCTGTACCTTATTTATGCGAGACATTCATTCTAGACCGAGTTCCCGCGGTTTATGTTTCCAAGAACAAGGCGCTTGATGTCTCCTATGCCTCAATCTATTACCTGTGAGGAGGAGAGGAACTCGGTGCCTATCGAGTTACAAGCATCATTGGTGCCCCATGTGCCCTATCATCATCTTCAACTCGCCGGGCTTTGCATCTCCAAATCCGGGGTTCATTGAAACAACAATTTGTTTTCCTGGACGGCGCTCGGCCATGCCCATGGCACAATGCTCTGCGTGTGCCGTTCCGCTCGGAAATCCCGTGTATTGCATCTTGGCCCTGCCTCGCACTTGCTTGAGCAGCGTAAAGAAGCAATGCTTGTCATGCCACTCTATCGTCGCCCATGCCTGTCGTTCCGAGTCGGGCTTCTCCGCCATGAGCGCCATTTCTTCGGTCGTGAATACTTTGGACGTGTTCAAGTTGGAAGCGTAGTAGTTCCATTCGCCATTTGGGCCAGGCCCAGATTTTTCAAAGAGGGAAGTCATTTCGTCGTCGCGGCAATGTGGTGGAAGCCAGGACGTGGATAGTGAATCGTACTTGCAATCAAGAGTGAGTGCCTCAGCGATGGACGAGCCGCAATTACATGGCGGCACTGCTGCCTTTCGGAATCGGACTACTGCATATATTCCCATGGTGATGAGGCCATACACGGCCATTGCCACTATGACGAGCTTGACCACGTACGACAGGACCGTGCGAAGACGACTACTTTGCCGAGCACGAGGTATGTAAAGCTCGGCCTCCTCATCGTCACTGGTATTGATTTTCGAATATTCATGCTTTTCAGCATTGGCTATGAATGGATCTGAAGAAGAGGACGAGCTGTATTAGTCAGTAAATACCCTTTACTTATGGGCGGTGGGCAAGTTGAACATACGAAGACAGCGCCATTGTGAGAAATTGTTTGCTACTGTGTGAATAGACTTACTCGTAAAATAAATCGAAAATAAAAAATAGAGATGCAGAACATAAGGATGATGGCCGCTGGTCTCGGGGACTTAGCTGACGACCCATAGAAGTGACCTCTTGTTCAGCGAGCACTGCATGGGTCACCGGAATCCTTGCTGTCCTCACGGCTGTAGCGGGGCGGTTAAAAGGTTAGCAGGCGGGGTCGACTTTGGGAACCGACTTACACCAAGTTGCAACCCTCCGTCAAAAGTTCCCGGCATTTGCTTATGTCGGTCATTATTTCATGCCAGGAAGCTTTCAATTCATGTATACTACTTTATGACGCAAATAACATTGAGGTATGCATATGGCTTGGCAACTTTTCTGCATTCATCTCCAGTATACAGTCACAGGGAGCAATTTTGCCGCACTCAGTGAGGCGACTACGAGATTTCCTACCGTTTAGGACATTCAGTTCTTCAATCTATCTAGGCAAGGATGGCTCTTATGATAGTGGCCGTTTCAAGAAGCTACAATGCTGTCTAATAGTGTAGGTAGTCGCAGAAAAGTTCATTGCATAGTTTCCATTTGCATCAACTCTGCTAGCTATCGATGGATTGAGCTCTCGTCTTTTTGATGAATACATAGTACAGTATCTTTATGTATATCTTCTTGAGGATTTACTCGGCATCCGTACGCTTCTCGTTGTTGACAGCTTCAAACTCTCCAAACTTTCCGTACTTGGGGTAGTCATTTGTTCTCTTCTCATTATTGACGGCCTCAAACTCTCCAAACTTGCCATACTTAGGATA